AGCGCGTCTACATTCCTGAGTTGGCGGCGTTTAAAGAATAAGACTACTGTATGTGACTGACCTTGTGTCTGCTTCTCCCATGCTTCTCCCTGTCTCTTATACACATCTAGATGTGTATAAGAGACAGACATAAGACTCTTGGGAGGAGGGAAACAAATCTCTTTTAAAAATCTTTGATCATGTATATATAAATGTATTTACCAGTTTCACAAAAGGCCCCAGTAAAACATCCAGGGCAGGTACAAGTATAAGCTGTACAGGAACCAGGAACCGTGTTACAAGTACCTCCATTCTGACAGAGGTTGTTACTGCAGGCACTGATAGCTGTCAACAGAATGCAATTCTTTTTTTTAATGTTTTAATCAATACACTTGTCTTTTCTAAAGTCCTTTCCAGACTATAAAATTTTTATTTGACAAAAACATGTGTCCTCCATTCTGACAGAGGTTAACATCACAAGCATTGACAGCTGCAAAAATATTGTAAATTTATGATATTTCATATATCTATTTCAAGCATCAGCAATCACAAAGGTAACACATGTAAACCTGATTATAAAGCCAACATAAAAGCAGAAACATGTTTTCCTAGGAAAATCAAAATAATGTATATACAATTTTTTTGTGGAAAGTCCTAACAAGCAAACTGGAAACAGATACAGATTTGCATATTTCCAGGTATAAATGCATGCTTGATTGTGTTAAGACAAAATTGTAGAGATCTAAATACATCATCCCTTAGTTTCAAATGTTGAAGTTTAAACATATACAAATCATGTGATTATATTTTATTATCAATAATTCATGATTGGTAGCAGTATTCAACTACTGTATACTTTAATAATAAAATACAAGTTTTAGAAAGATGCAGATGATAGCATAAACCTTATAATTGTTTGTTTATAAGCTTTAGAATATTATTTTGCTAAAATTTTCTATCCAAGAAACACTTTTAGTTAAAGAAAAAAATTACCTGTTTCACAAAACTGGCCAGTAAAGCAGCCATTACAGGTGCAAGTGTATGCAGTACAGGAGCCTGTTACACCAACACAAACTGCTCCATTCTGACATTGGTTGTTATTACAGGCATTGATAGCTAAGGAACAATATTCAGTACACAAAATTAAGTACCTCTCCTTACAACTCACCTCTTCCATTATATTAATGGTCATATAGGGCTGTGAGATACCAGTAAAGAGCACTTTATAAATGCTAAACATGATATTTTTAAGACCATTGCGGACCATGGAGGAAAATTAAATTTAGAAATAAACATCAAATTTTAAATAACTAGAAATCAAACACATTTTTTAATTTTAATTGGTTTATATTTGTAAAATTGTACTTTGACTTCAGGGGTTAAAATCATATTATAAACTTATTTACCTGTTTCACAGAAAGTTCCAGTGAAGCAAGACAGACATGTACAGGTGTAATCAGTACATGACCCTGTAACAGTGCTACAGAAGGCTCCATTCTGACAGAGGTTGGTACTGCAGGCATTGATAGCTGTAAATGCAATTCTCTTTTTTTAATGTTTTAGTCAATACATTTGTCTTTTCTAAAGTCCATTCCAGACTATCAAATTTTATTTGACAAAAACATGTGACACCTAAATATGGTCAAAATGACATCACATCATGACCATATATAGGCACACCATGACTATATATGGCTATTCAATATAATTGCAAAGTTTCAAAATTGAATCTACATACATGTTTCACAGAAGGCACCAGAAAAACATGCTGGACAGGTACAGGTGTAAGCAGTACAGGAAACTGCTATAGCAGTACAACCTCCTCCATTCTGACAGAGGTTGTTATCACAAGCATTGATAGCTGCAAAAAATGTGCATTCACAACAGTCAATAAAAATATTATTTGTTTCTTTGTAATTGTATTATTTCTAAGGTTGCAACTCATAGTCTTTCTGGTCAACTCATAGTTGTTGCTGCAGGCATTTATTTTTAAGAAAAAAAAACAATGTGTTTATTGGCAATTTAATATTAATTTTGAAAACATACAAATATACTACTTACTACCTCAGTTAAGCCAATAAATTTGAAAATAAAATACGTCTTTTGTATATTTAATTAAATTATGTAGCATTTAATAAAAACCACAACATTTTTCTTGCCAATAGATACATAAATAATAGTTTCTTTATTATTATTTATATCATTTATGTAGTGCTTTTTCTTTGCAGATACATAGAGAAGTTCTTTTCCCTGGTCATTGGGTCCATATGCTTTAAGTGTAGCTGCTGGTAAACAATGCAGGAGCAGGCAACCCCACCAAGTACCCATTTATACTCCAGGGTGGAGAGAAGCAATGCAGATATAATGCCTTGCTCAAGGAGACTCCTTGAAACTCCAACCTCAAGGTTGGGAAACCAAACCGTTCCTACTGTACCAAACCATTTTTATATAATTTGCACAGACCCTTAAGTTGGTTGGTAATCAGTTTCATGATTTTTGTAGTAAAATTAATGTACATCAGAAGGAAAATGTCAAATGTTTGTAACAAATTTTTTGGAAATAAACAAAATTGAATTGTTTTGATTTGTGTTTCAAGTAAAGTTGAAAACTTTTTTGATCATTTCATATGAAAAATGTTTTATTTAAATGCTAAATTCTTACATGCTATTTTACCAGAGAGCATTGTAACTATTCAGATGGAAGACTTAATTTTTTTTAATGTGTACAATGGAGGACCAATGATCCGTAGGAGGAATAGTTTGGAAATGTTTCATTACCTATTGCGAGAGTCTAAGCGGACGGAATGCCCCTGAGAATTTGTGAGTTTTAGCCATTTTATTCTCTTTTACCTAAATGAATTCATACTTGGTTAGGCTGAGCTACTTTCTCAA